CGTCTGGTGACGTCACCAGGAAATTGAAAAATATTTCGACATTCCCATACTTATTACAGACCTGCCAAAAACTTGGTCTGTTCGTTTGTATGTGTGCATGTATATTGTATACACATTATATTATAGAACGGTACCCGTTTTAATAACATCGACCCGCTACACTGCCTCGTCAGCGGATGGTTCACCCCCTTGATGAGCGAACCAAATCTCCGGATCGCGGAGGGACTTGATGTGGAATATATCATACTATATCGGTTAGTAGTGTATTGCTGTTTTGAGCAGTGGTTTTAAACTGCCACGAGCATTTTCTAGGCGTGCGAGAGCTTTTAAAAGTTTTTTTTTATAATAATTATGATTAATAAAAATATAATATAATTAAATATAAATTAATTAATGTTTATGTATAATAAAGTAAATTTTTTTTAAGTTTAATTTGGCGAGAAAAATTAAATAATGATCTCAAATGAAAAAGAAAAGTTGTTTCTGGTTAAGACATTTGCTGTCTTAAAAAAGAGTTGAATACCACGGTTTGGGAGCATAAAATAAAATATTATTATTAAATTCTAATGATTATTATTATTTAAGTATATTTTTTTATTATTGTTATTAAATATTAATTGCTTAGAATATTTCCAGTTAAATTCTAGGTCAGTGCACTTAAGTTTTCCATAGATGAGTTTATATTAATTTACATAACCACCCGCTATTATGTTACAAGAAGTATAATGGATGTAGTGATTGTAGTGAGTTATTATGTATGGAATGTTTTGTTTAAATTAAATATTGAGATATTTTATTAGAATGAAATATATCTGAACCTCACCCCGACGCACATTTCATTACATAATATATATTAAGTAAACACTATTGACTTTTAATACTTAAACGGCGAATTTTTTGACGGTGACAAATGAATGACTATAATGTTATTATCGTTATACGCACTGCATTACGGACGAAATTTTGTTGTTGTTTTCTCGAAGGGGTTTATTCTATCGTGACACGGCGATTTATGACGATGGTCTAGTGCGCAGTATCTAGTAGCGACGCCTGCGATTTACTAGGGGATATTAGTTTAAGTTTGCCAGTATATAAAATAATAGTGTATAAATTATGTGTGTATAATGTGTATACGCCAAGAAATTAATTTCAACGAAACGCATTATTACACATTACGCCGGAGCACGCGGAGCACATCGCACATGCACTTATACACACGTGGGATCGTTAGGGGTGGACATTAATCAGGACACTTACCATATATATATACGATAAACATATAATATACACACCTAATAAGCAGGACTTTCGTCTTATTAATCACTTCGTTCATATATACATACAGCACGCAGTTTACTAAACACGGATTTGACTTCCGATGCAATCGATTCGATGTGATGTAATCTCCGAGAGAATAAATAGCGCTCGGATTAGCTGTGGTAATCACAGTAGTGCGCATTTCGTTGTATTCTTCACAAATACACACACACATACACCAAAGTCACGTACCCATATAAACCCTGAGATTATTATTATTATTATTTCACACACGACTGTCGTGAGGTTTATTTCTCGGTCGTTATAACCGAGAATAGTGACGTATATACGTATATATGTATATATTATAATAACATAATCAGCACGGGAAATATTATTTTCCATCGGGGATGTTCCACCCGTCCCCTTGCCATCAAACATCGACCGACATTCACCTGATTCGCGGGGTGGAATATTTTTGCTCTGCAGATTCAGTGATGACGGCATGGGCGATTGGGGTGGGGAGTAGGAGGGTAACGTGTACGTCGCGCGCCCGACTTATTACAAATGCAAAATTCGCCCATTCATATTCAAAATTTTATAATACGACGGCGGTACTGTCAACCGATTTGTATGCGCCGTCTCTCGCCTTGTAGGAAGTCGCGGCACGGTTGCAGGGGTTTGTGCATGAGGAAGAGGGGTTATGCGGGGGTAATAATTACTTCATACACAACCGCACAGGAATCCTCGGCGTGTGTGTATATGCAAGAATATGCTCACGGAGGCGACTAAGAAGTGCGGTGGTAGGGGGGTGGTTTAGAGCTTTGCCATACTTATTCGGTCTTAACCGCTAATTTATTCACCCGAGACCGCCGGCCGCGTTCGAATAGATTTGATTTCGTTTTATAATAATAATAACTTGCGTGGCTGTCAAGTAAGAGGGAGAACACCCCCCCCCCCAACCATTTCTCACCACTCTCGTCGGTGCACATACGCGGCGACGACCATCTTGAGGCAGACCTTGTCTGTCTGTCTGTCTGTCTCGGTCTTTCTTTCTCTTCGTTTCCCCACGACTATTGGGGAAGACGCGCATTTTACTTAAAATACCAGATGTGCAAAATTGAACGCATCCAAAGATATTTGCATCCGTCGCCACTCGCCGTCTCGTATCCCAGACAACTGCGCGCGTTTTATTTCGTTTGCAGCGTAGTATCGTTGTACATATTATTCCCATTGGTCCCGTCTTCCCAAGATTTTTTATGCGGTGTTTTTGCAGAAAAAATTGTATAATAATTCACATAGATGTACGCAGTCATCGTAGGACCATATTGAGTATACTATATATGATATTTTAATTTTTAACCATAATATTACTTAAACGTAACAATTATACGGGTCATTATTGTTATCGTACCAGTTTGTCAAAAAAATAAAATAAAAATATTGTTATTTTATTTTTAGACAGGATTGAATAAGTTAAAAATACTCACTGTGGGCGATGTTTGGCGTTTGTTTTAGTATTTTGCACATTAAAAGAACAAAACCCTCCTACCAGGATAAAATTAAGTTGAGTGGTTTTTTTTCTTCTAAATACTTTTGTCGGTTTAACTGTTTATGTACCTATTTAATTCCCCATTAGGCTAAGCACCTTTTAGTGACTTCGTGTTGTCTTTGCAAGAGATCCCCTTTTGGTGTAACGTAAACGATCAAAACACTCATAATCGACTGCTGTTTACACAGAGTCACGCGCGCTTCAACGAGTCAAGAGCATTATACCAGAGTGTAGAGCCAGGAAAAAAATTGAATTGAATTGTTCACTGGTGTTTAAACAAGTTATGTTTTTTCTTTTTTATACTATAGTTTAATAAATGTATTTTTTTAGCTTGTGCCGGATTGTTACCTATGTAATTGGCAGGTATACCTACGTTGAAAGTCAATGGCTTCATTTTATGATCATGCATCTGACAAACTGCAGGTATCGGAAATATAAATTTTGAAAAATATTTTAAGTTTTATATTGTTCGGTAAACGAATACGGGTAATAATAAACAGTCAAACAGGGTAAAGGTAAAAATTAAATTAACTTTTTTAGATTTGTTATGCTACACGTTCGAAAAAAAAAATAAAAAAACACGAAATGATTAGTGCATTAATTAAAGAATATAGATTTTTTTTTATTACATTATATTTTTATCATACAATATGAATTTTGCACGTCATGTTACAATGTATATTTATAGATATAATTTGTATCTGCAGCTAAGAATAATGAGTTTTAATGATTTAAATAAAAAGTTAACTCTCTAATTAATTTATAATGTTTATTTTACTGAATAGAAGATTGGTGCTCGGCACGGTTAAATAAAAATTATATTTGCTGAGTACCTTAAAATCTTACTCAACAATAGGTATTTATCGTAATATTTATAGTAGTTCAGGCTTTTGGAACTAATATTTTATAACTCATTCATTAAATATATCTAACGCAACTCGCCAGGGTTCCGGAAAATATATTTAATTATTTAATTAAAGCCTAATATTTGAATATATACATAAAACTATGTTATATTATAAAATTTATTCTGAAATGATTAATTACAATTATTTCTACTTATATCCAAGTAAATATTGGAACGTTAATTTTAAATTCATTATATTAAAGTAGGGTGGTATTTTTTTTTACTAGATCATGCCAATATTATGTGTATTTTTTATAGTCAGAATACATAATAATATCTTCAACGGGATTTCTTTTTCTTTTCTATTTTCTTTGATGATCGATATACTCTCTTTGGCTGGGAATTTAATTAATATATATGTTTATATATATATACATTCTGGCGGGGAACGAGCGCCGCTGTAGCATCATATGCACGTCCAGGGCTGAGACAGGCACCGGAAGAAGTGGAAACTTTGCGTATTGGCGTTCCAGATAAATTAAAATACTTGGCCGATTCTGCCCGGTTTGTGTTTGCTCACAAGACCGTCGGTATATTAATGCGTTTCGGATGACAGCCGAACGGGCGACACAAAGAAGTCGAAGACGGGAAAGATATAGACGAACGGCGGACGAGTAGCTGGAGAGGTATCTGTATACACTTGAACGAAATGTCTTTTTGATAAATTAGAAAGTCGACCGTCGAGTAAATAACCCTTGCCTCGTGCATATTTCATTAAAACTTTTGCTATGGCAGTGTTTGTTTTTATATGCCGGTGAGTTGACGATGGCGTCGAGCGTGTGTATATGTGTGTTTGCCAAGTCTCCCTCGTTTTAACTTTGAAATTACTAGTTTTGGGGTTTTGTTTTTTTTCTTTTTCCAGTAAATATGACGATATAGGTTAAATATATAACAAGGAAAACGCTCACGTCAATTTTATATATATATAATACATGGTAATTTAGCTTCGAATATAAGTGTAGTATAATAATTAATAATACAGCAAAGCTTAAATAAAGTATATTGTAACGATCTATTTTTTTTTTTTTAATATTAATATTGTTCTACGAAAACATAACTATATATTGTTTCATATTAATTGGTTCTAAATCTTTAATCATTTAGTGACCTATCATAAAATATAGTGTTTATTTTTAGTGCTATAATAACCCATATACAAATACAAGTATTACTGATATAAAACTATATATTATATATGATAGTTATATAGGTATAATATAGTAATACTCTAATAACATTACTTTCTATACAAGATAATAAAGCGTAATAATTGTAAGTACTTACTTTGCTCATTGCTTGTGTATATCTCGCCCGCCGGACTGACAGGTCTAAAACAAAAAAACATCACATAAACACGTTAGAAACGACTATGAAAATAACAGTTTAAAAATAAATATATTTACGTACACACACACAAACATACACATATATATTATATGATTTGCGTATAATATGACCACGACGATAGGTGACCCCTTGTAAACGTCATATAAGGGCGATAAAAAAAGATTTTGAGCACATAACGATGCACACAAGGACCTCTTTAATAGACTACCTGTTGAACGATATATAACGTGTCGGGTAAAGTATTAAAAGGCCGTATATGTATGTGTGAACTGGCCTATTAAATACATACATGACCGCATAAACCACGGGTCTTTATTTTTTTCATTTTTTTTTTTTTTTTTTTTTTATCACTATGTTTGGCGGTGTATCATTTAACAAAAGACGTCCCCTGCACAATGTATAGTTTATTTTTTTTTTTTGCTCCCTCAGACTTTTGTGATCTCTTTTTCAGAGGCTTAAGTCTTTTGCACCCCTTCAGTGAAACAGCGTAGAAAGAAAAATAAAATACCTTGGTAGAGGTGTCTAAAAGTGTATATGAGAGAAAAACAGCACGCAAGGGATTTTATGCGTTTTCCCGTGTCCCCTCTCCGCACGCTGCTCTACAGAGATTCCCCATGCACGCGGTAGTCTATGCTAAGCTTTTTAGGGGAAATGGTTTAAGGAATGCGCTTCTAGTCTATATTCCCTGCCCGATAAGAAGTTTTCGACTTTTTGGGCGGAGTAGGAGCAATGTCAAATATGAAACACCGTTTTACTTCTATGCGTATTTATTATATTATACAGATAAAAAGATAAAACCATTCTACACATATACAAGCGTAGTACGAGAGCGTATTATTGTACGTCTATGCATTCGGGCGTATATATATATATATATTTATGACGTACAACTTTTTCCGTCACGTTAAGCGTATATACGAAAAAATTACATATACGTATATTTTATAGACGAACTGAAATACTTGATGGAGACAAAAACGTAAGCCTTTGAAAATACGAAAGCTATTTTTTTACATTTAGTCTGGTGTGCGCGACGATGCGATCGGCCAAGAGTGATCTTGATTGCGTTTATGTGCTGCAGAGGAGTCTCATTGTAAACGGTAGTGATATGTTGTGTGTGAGTGGTGGTAGGGGTGGTGTATAAGGGTGACAACGGTGAAGGTAGAATGGTGGTACCATGTTATTGTCAAGATATATGAGGGTCCGATGGTGGGGTGTGAGGACTGCTAGGAGAGGACGGCTGCAGCAGCAGCAAGATGGACGGAGTTTAAATGGAAAGAGGGGAATTGCACGGCGCGAGGCAAAACGGCCGTTTGATCAATATGCGACCCTTTAATGTCTTCATTACGACTTGCAGAGCGGCGTGTATTTATGCATATAATCTGACTATCGGCCGTAACAAAGCTTCCCCTCGCTCCCACTCCACCTTACGTTGTCCCGGTGCATTGAGACAGTCGCGTGGGCGGGCGTGCTAGAAAGCTCACAAAAACGGACTCGACGGAAGTTCTTTTAAAGAACTTGCGCGTAGTCGACGATGTTTTCGTCGTCGTTGTTGTCATCGTCATCGTAGTTGTAGTGGTTGCGTTCATTTACCGGGCCGGAACCACTGGACCGGAACTGTGCTGATATACCACGGTCCCGCAGCGCCAGAAAACGGTTTTATATGCTCAACGTACTGTATATACTTGGCAAACAAGAACAATTATATCGCTCAGTTCTTCTGCAGTCTCGTTCTACAATACGGGCAGATTGGGTCTCTTTTGGAAATTTTAGAACGGTGGAAAAAACTGGACGAATTTAAGGTTATGCGTTTTTTTTTTTATTCAACAAACTTGGCCGTCTCTTCGAGTGCAATAGAGTGAGAATGAGAGAGAACAAGAGAGAGAAAAATAGAGTGATAAACTTGGACGCCGACCACGTGCTTAATATGCTGTATAGTTTTAGGTAAAGTTATTGAAACTGTACAATGTATAAGTACATGTATAATGTATATAATACCATTTTCTCGAAATGTATTATATATGTATATGTTAAATAATATATTCCCGGAGTAACTTATATTAATATTAATCCACGTATTAAAATAACCGCGTGTTGCCAAATTAATTTTACTTCTATAAGTATCGGTGACTATAATAATTTATTACCATCTGGTTTATAATATGTGCTATGGATTGTTATAATGAGAATTTCGTTATATTCAAATTTCAATTATACCTATATGTTTTGTATCATATTATACAGTTGTGATGTGTCGTATGTGTATATAAAAAGATGCATTCTTGTCTTACGCCAAACTTTTAGGGTACTTATGGTGAAAGCCTTTACACTGTAACGCTAATAATATATTCTTAGTGGTGGTAGTATTATACACTTACAATTATATTACTCTATCGAAAATTATTAATCACTAAGATTATAATATTATACAGTCGCTTAACATTTTGCGTGTGGCTTACAATTTGTTTACGACACCCATTATATAATGTTGAATACGCTATTGTTTTAATTCACCGACCTTTTTTTCTTCGCCCTCATTATTGTTATTTGCACATAAAAACCGTTTGTAAACACGTCCGAGGGCTCAAATGACAATACTGAAGAGCCACTGGTGCAACACTCAACAGGGTGTTTTTAATTCCTGAATTAAGTGTTTGTTTTTTTCTCTTGCATTGCTTTTTTAGGACCTTTTTTTTAAATAAAAAAAAGTGTGATAACGAAGGGATTGTTTCAACGACGACGGCGGTGCCGTGGGGTCGGCCGCGGGACTGTTTTCACCAGTAGATGTCTGATTTTTCGTCGACGATGGTCTTTTCAAGTATCACCCTTTTTTATTCTGAGTATTTTTATTCACATTTTTACTTCAAGATAAAAAACCCTTTTCTCAGGAATAACCTCGTAGCCTGAGCACTTAAAACAGATTTCCCACAACCCCACGCATTCAGTTCAACTGGCTAATTACATTACTTAAGGCCATACAAAAAAAAAAATAAATCCTTTAAAACGTTTTTATTATTAATACATTAAAATTTAAAAATAATAAATTTATAGTTAAAATAAAATATAATATACAATGTTAAAGTATTTCTACAAAAAAATTGTTATTTCACTGTTATTAATTTAAATTTAAGACATGTTATTAAAAACGAAAAATTTTTCTGTCAGCTAGTAACTTAAAAACACAATACAATAATACCTAGTGAAAACTCTCAAAATTAATATACATTTTTAAGTATTTTTTTTTTTTATTTTTTTTTATTGTCAAATTTTCAAATTACATTATAAACATATTTTAATATACTCTAAAAAATGGTAAAATTGAAAAATATGCTCTTATAACTACAAAATCACTAATTATTCAAAAATATGAACTATAAATTTAATTGTCCAAAAAAAAAAAAAAAAAACAACACACAAATGCAATAATTAATAGTAAACAAGGACTTAATTAAAATTGTTGATATCACATTATAGCAATTAAATATTTTTTAAGAAATTTAATGCAATTTAAAATGTTAATGTAAAATAATTTATGGAAAAACTAGTAAATATTGCGGAATCTGGGGACGCTATCGTTTGGCGGATTTGTGTACCGTTTTGTCTCTATCGCTGTTGTCAATCTTATAATTTAATATGAACACAGTCATTATTAGCCTGCTGCAGTCTCTCTGACTTCCGGGCTCGTCGTAAAGTCGATGCTCCCCTTTGCTAGAACGGCTTATCCTAATCGACAGACCGTGGTAGCCGATCGCCGCCACATCGGGGTAGTTCAACGGGATATGGTGCGGTTGTAGTGGGGGGTCTGGATTTCGTCTTTACGACAGTTATTATTAGGTTTAGTCTCTGAAACCACATCCCGTCATATATATTTATATACATATATATATTACACCAATACGAGAACATCTTATACATATACATTTTCTTCGGATATCGAACGCAAGGATTATCGAAACCGACACCAGCCGACCGCCCTCCCTATTTTATCAGTATAATAATGATAATAATAACAATAATAATCACCGCGTTTGAACGTGGAACTAAATAAAAACCGACCGTGGCGGGATATCGTCGTTTAATCAAATTTCGACTAACACAGCGAATTTTATCATTTCTCCCCGATCCAGCAATTGTACATACACACACACACATATATATATATATATATAAAGTAGTCGAATACTGGTCGTGGAAAAACTATACGTGTATATGCCGAGTCAATAGTGTAAAACCCTTCGCGTCTCTGTACGTTACCGACCCGGCCAGTCCCGTGATTACCGCGGGGCGGATGTGGTACGTGGAGGGTGCAACGTCTTAACGTTAGTTCAATATTTGCTCTGCGAGCCCGGGGTCTAATCCAGAACCAAGGGATCAGAGAGCGGTGGCGGTGGCAGCGACGTGCGTGCGTGTTTGATGAGAAATGCCGAGGGAGCCGCGAACGAGGCTCCACCGTTACTATTTTACGACGGTAATTAAAAGTCAGCAAAGGTTTGCGAAAGTTCAGCCGTAGTGAGATGTATATTGTGTGTATATGTATACACAGTTTTCGTTTTCTTTTTTCTAGTTTTTTCCCCATTTTTCCCTCGTATAAGATGTATACTAAACACACCATGTGTCTGTACACGAAAACGCAGCTTGTTATTCCGACTCACGGTTGTAGTTGATTACATAATATCATTACTGCATGTGAAACGTGCGTTCAATGAATATATATACATAGTTAAAATTTAATTTTTTTACTTAAGAAGTGAGGATGGAAAAAATTATGCTCAACAAACTCGTGAGGACATCAACCCTACAACCTCTTTAGGCTTACTTTTCAAAATTTTCCTGGATAATATTTTACTGATAAATTATGATTATTACTCAAGGCTATCCGGATAAAAGGTACATGGGTTGTTACTCCACATACCATGATAAAATAACTGACACACAATATTTTCTTTTAAACAATAAAAATAACAAAATAAATAAATTTAAA